CTTTACCTTTAGTATTTAATCCAAATCCATTGAAATCTAAAATAAAATATGTTACAAATTGAAAAAATAATTTTAAAAAAATATATTTACCTGATCTGTTAAGAGAAATGAACTTTTCGTCATCTTTATCCACAGTGCCAGTGTTCTCGACAATATCAAAATTGTCCTCATTGTCAATCTCTGCGCTTGTAATAACCTTCTGTTTTTTTGGTACAGGTTTAGTTGCCTTTGAAGTGGACTGTTTTGTTGCACGCTTTTTACCCTTTGGTTCAACCAAAACTATGGGTGCATCAGACCCCTGACTTGAGTCAGAATCGCTACCCTCCAAATTCTCATTTGATACAAATTCACGAGATTTTTGAGACATCTGTAACACAAAAATAATTAAAACATTTATCAAAGTTAAATACTCCACTTACTTTTGACTGTATATAACTCAGTATATTACTTTGTTATCTGTAGTACAAGTAAGTTTTGTCTTTAACTACAAACGCTAAAAACGATTATGATTTCAAAAAATGATTTTACTGCGCTTTTATACTCATAAATTGAGGAAAAACTTGTTAAAATAAAAATAATTACATTTGGGCGTTAGCTACATTTTGACAAGCATAACCAAAGTATTAGGGGGACAAATTTTTTAAAATTATATATATGAATATATAAATAAATTTAAAATAAAAATATATAATTTTTTTTTTAAAAAAAAATTAAAAGAAAAAATTAAAAAATACACAAATTTTATGTTATATCTATTAATCCATATTAGATAATTTAAAAATTCTTTCGAATATTTTTACATATTATTATTATTAAATTGATTCAATAATAATATTTTTTAAAAATACTAAATATTTTGAGAAAAATAAAAAAACGTAATTTTTTGTGTGCGTGTATGATTTTATAGTCGTAATTTTTGAACGGTAAGCAGTAACAAAAATCTGATTTCATAATTGAAATCTAGAGTAAAAATCCTATAAAATTGATACCTCACACGATACCTAGGTCTCATCATAGACCCTAGGGCCCATTTTTTTTTTTTTTTAATTTTTTTTTCGAAAATATTAACCCACCTAAGACTTAATATAAACTCATTTAGACCTTAAATAAAGATTTTAGCATTTTTTAGTGTATTTTAGATAAATTTTAATATTTAATTTTCAATTTACCCCCCTGTAGACACTTTGGTTGTTGTTAAAACACCCAAAGTCAAAACTACACCCAAAGTCGAGCCACACCTGAACGACTATTTTTTATTTTTGTGTAAAAACCGAGGCACACCCGATTTAATTGCAATTAGAAGGTGAAATTTTCTGTATATATATCGCAAGTTTAGTTAAATAAATTTATCATTTAGTTTTACAACTACTTTTGTATAACTTTTTAATATTAATAATATTAATAACTATGCCTAAAGTTAATAAAACTAAACTTCATTCATGTGATTGCTGGTACAACAGAAAACCACTTCCAAACTGGCCGTCTCCATCAAATGGTATGTATTACTAAATAATTATATATATTTAAATAATTTTGTTATATTATATTAATATTTTTTTTATTTTTCAATAGTTTGCGAAAACAATAAGGTGTATAAATGCTCCCTATGTGGATACGAGGATTGGATCATATCTGCTGTCAAAACGCACATCGTTCGAAGACATTCAAAACAAGTTCAAAAGCATTTCGATGAATTTGGTGACGTCAGAAAATTTGTTGAAGTTTGGGACCTGAAGACGGAAGCGGTGGACGACAATATTAACTTGGATTAATTTTTGTATTTTTTTATAACTTAATATTGTCTTTAAATTAATAAAATTAATTTTATTTTCAAAATTGATGTGTATTTTTTCTTAAAAAACTGGTCAAAGGAGGTAAGTGTTAAAACCTAGACAACATTAATAGTTATTTATACATATGATATAACTTACATATAAAAATTTTTTTAATTTAATTAAATTCAATTAATTATTATTATTTTATTATTATTTTTGAATCAATTACTAAAAAAATATATTGATATTAAATTTTTAAAAAAAAACAATTAGAACTAAAATAATTATTAAATAGATATTTAGATAATATTATAAAAATAATAGTTTTATTTTTTTTAATAATGACATATTTTTATATAAATAATAAAATATTATTATAACTTTAATTTGTTTTATGTTTTTTTTTTGAAATAAACTTATTATAATAATTGTGTACATTATTATATTAAAATCAGATATTAAATATTTATAATTAAGGTATAATTAATTAATTATTTGTAATTTTTCAAAAAAAATTAAAAAAAAATGTTTGACTAAAATATGTATGTTTTACTACTAACTAAAAAATATAATGTATACTATGACATATAATAAATAAAATTATAAAGATAATTATAATAAAATCTAAATTAATAGTTTTATTTAGTAAATAAATTAAGTTTATATATTCTAAATTATAATTTGTTTTTAAATATATCAATTTATTTATGTTGATTATATATTTATTTAAAAACGATACAAAAAAAACAAATTAATAGATATTTATTTTATATCTTTATATATAAAAATAATATGTTAGTATCTATACTTTATTTTTTATTTTTTTTTTAAATTTTTGATATTCATATTTTTAATAATAATAAAATAATGTTAATAATATTTTCATAATGTTTAAATACTGATATTATACTTATTGTTATCTAAAAGTTTATTATATTTAAAGTTATTTGTTTAATCATTTTATAAAAATAAATTGTTAAAATAAAGTCTAGAAACTTTATAATATAAAATTAATATACAGTACAATAATACTTTAATGATTATAAAGAAATTTTTCAAATTTTTTTTTAATAAAACTAACTTTTTTTAAAAAAAGAAAAATAGTCATATGAGATAAAAATATAATATTTTATTATTTAATAAATATTTTTTTTTAAAAAAAATAAATAAAATCTTATTCTAATAGATAATAATAACAATACTTGAAACTATAATATATATAAAATAATTTTATTAGAGTTAATAAATTTAAAAACATTACTATAACTTTAAATATTGTTTTGTTTTTAATAAAAAAATATTTAATAAATAAGTTTATCTTTATTACATTATAATACAACAAAAAACATATATTATACTGTATATTAATATCAATAAAAATGTTTATCAAAAATTTTTTGATGACTTTAAAAAATATAAATTATATCGATTTTAAAAAAATAATTTTTTTACTATTATTAATCATGGAGATAAAAATAATTTTTAAAAAATACATACATTAAGACACTGGATATAATTTACTTTTATAAATAATATAATAAGTTGTTTTCTATATTTAATTTAATTTTTTTTAAAAATATTTATTTGCTTTTTTATTAAAATAAAAATATATATAAATCTGTTATGATTAGGGTTTTAAAATAATTAATAGATTGCATTAAATTCCTGGAAATTTTTGTTTGTTTGTCATTTTAAGTACACATTTACTTATTAATAGACATATTTTCAATGAGAGAATTCCTGAATTTAAAAAAAAGTAGAAATGAAAGTAATTTTCCACTAAAATATAAAAAAATAATATTCCCATTAAATATCCCTTTTATATTTATTTTTACATACTAGATATATTATCAATAATGCTAAAATAAATTAAATAAATATTATAATTTTAATTAAATATGAAAATCTATTAAGAAAATTCAATTGAAATTAAATATAATTTTTTATTTATAATAAATAATAATTAACTGTAATATAACTTACATATAAAAATAATAATAAGTTGGTATTTTTACTTATCTTTTTTTTAATAAATTCAATTAATTATTATTATTATTATTTAAAACACTTACTATATATATAGACATTAAACTTTTTTTTTAATTTAAACTAAAATAATTATTAGAGAGATATTTAGATAATTTTATACAAATAATAGTTTTATTTTTTGTAATAATATTAAATTTATATAAAATAAAATAAAAACACTACTATAACATGATGTTTTTACTAAACTATTAAATAAATTAAGTTATATTAAGTTAAATTAAATCTAATAAATAAAATTAAAAAAATTCATTAAAAGATTTTGAAAATTCAATTGAAATAAAATAATTATTCATAATATTTAAATAATATTATATTAATAAAAATTTTATAGACATATATTATATAATATAAAAATACAACTATAACTTTAACTTGATTTTTTTTACTAAACTACTAAATAAATTAAATTATCTTGTACATTATTATACTTTAAAAAAACAAATATTAAATATTAATATCAATAAAATCTAATATTGAAATTTTTATAACTAATTAAGTTATAACTAATTAAGTTATAACTAATTAATTATTTGTAATTTAAAAAATAAAAAATAAATAAATATTTTAAAAAATATTTTTTTAGCTAACTAAAAAAAACAATAATCTATACTATGACATCTAGTAAATAAAATTATTATAAAATTATTACAAAATTTTAATTAATGTTTTTTTATTGAATAAATTGAGATCAATTAAGATAATCTTGTACATTATTATATTGAAAACAGTTTGTAAATACTAATATTAATAAAAATTTTATCAAAAAATTTAAAATTAACTTTTAAATAATAAAATTATTGATATTTAAAAAAAAATAATAATAAATAACTCAAAATAATATATATATATATAGTATGACATCTATTTTTATAAAAAAAAATTAATTAATTAATTTCAACTTGTACATTTGTATGACGCTTTAAAAAAATATTTGTAAATTTCCTGAATAATTACTATAAAATAAAACTGTATATAAACATCGTAATTTTAGATTATATACAAATAAATGTTTTAATAAAACATTTATTTTATTTTATTTTTATAAAAAAATTGTTTGTTTTTTATTATATACATATTATTCTAAGTTTTTTTAAAAAAAATAAAATAAAAATAATTTATAAGTTAAAATGTTTATTGCTAATAAGGACCTAGTAAATTATTTTATTTATTTAATCTATCTTGGTCTAACTTATTTTGGTTATAAACTAGTTGAATTGTATTATGTTTATTCAAAATTGCCCCCTGGTCCACTACCGTTACCAATTTTGGGAAATAATTTAAGTAATAAAAAATTAATTAAATTTTAATAATATATATATATAAACTATATTTTTTTAAATCCTAATTATTTATAATTATTAATTAATTAATTAATTTTATTTAATTTAATTAAGTGTTTTGGACATCGGCTCACATTGATGTTGTTATGCGTAGATTGGCCAAAAAATATGGTCCCGTTTTTACCGTATATGTTGGCCATAAACCCCAAGTAATTGTTGCCGACATAACCATTGCCAATACGTTGTTTAAGCAAAAAAATTACAGTGGACGCCCGACATTGTTTACAAGTATTAATTATAATTATAATTATAATATAAATTTTATTTTTTTACACATTGTTTACTAGTATTACTAATAATAATAATTATAATATAAATTTTATATTTTAAACATTGCTTACTAGTATTACTAATAATTATTATAATATAAATTTTATTTTTTTACACATTGTTTACTAGTATTACTAATAATAATAATTATAATATAAATTTTATATTTTAAACATTGCTTACTAGTATTACTAATAATTATTATAATATAAATTTTATTTTTTTACACATTGTTTACTAGTATTACTAATAATAATAATTATAATATAAATTTTATATTTTAAACATTGCTTACTAGTATTACTAATAATTATTATAATATAAATTTTATTTTTTTACACATTGTTTACTAGTATTAATAATAGTAAATAATAATTATAATTATAATATAAACTTTATTTTTTACACATTGTTTACTAGTATTACTAATAATAATTATAATAATAATATAAATTAATTTTTTTCAGTTCTATCGGTTAATTAAATTAATTTTTTTTAATTTTTTTTCAAACAATCAAGCTCAATTTTATACCAATGAAAATATGTGCGATATTGCTACAAGCGATTATGATGAACGTTGGGCAGCCCTACGATTAATTGGCCACAAAGCAATAGTGTAGGTTAATTTTATTTAATTATTTAAAAATTTTAAAAAAATTAATTAGAAAATAATAGTAGTTTTTTTTAATTTTCAGAAATTATTCGAGAGACGAAAAATTGGCAAAAATTATTAGCGATTGTGTGGACACAACCATTAGAAAGATTAGCCAAAAAGAGTCTAACAAACCGTTTAAGCCGAACACCTATCTGTTTGATTTGACATTCAATATAATAGCAAAAAGTTTATTCAAAAAATCGTATGTAAAAAATTGTTTTTATTAAATTATAACAAGGGGTGTGATTCAAATATTACGTTTGCATTAAAAAAAATAGACCCCCTCCCCGATGTTAGCAATATTTTTGTTGTTATTGTTGTTGAATATATAGTTTCTGGCAAAAATTAGTTATGTCCATACATACAGAACAACTGACATAAACCAATCATAGTTTAATTTAAAAATTTATATTGTTATGGTAACAAAACTACTTTTTTAGTCTAATGTTATAAATACCACTTAAAATATTATTTTAAACTTAGATCTCAACAATATATATATTTTTTCAAAATAAAAATTCACAAACTGATCTTTACATATTTAGCACTAATATGAGCCAATGCGTGTCAAATGCTCTTCATCTGTGGTTATGTAGAACCCATACCCTCAACCCCTCCCCCAAGTGTGAACGTAATATATGAATCTCCCCCACCAACTAATATTGTTTTAATTAATTAATTTTTTAAATTTTTTTTTTGAAAAAAAAGTATTCCGTTAACTGACAGTGAATACGATTTTATTAAATACTATTGCCGTGACATTAACAACGAATTCAGTGGCAGTCGTATACTATTGGATTTGTCGCCACTGTTTGGTTGGCTATTCCCACAGATTGCCCAAAAATTTTCGAAGGCTATCATCAAATTCAATCAATTCAATTATGAGAAGCTTAAGCTACACTATTTGGATAGCGATAGGGGTGGCGATGATGGTTATGAATCGGTTGTCCAAAATTACAAACTAGACACCGATGACGATGACAATGATTTTTGCGATGCCATTATCAAAGCTAAACGGGACGGTCTACGGGATAACAAGCAATGGTCAAAATATCTGACCGACCGGAATCTCGGTCTGATGGTTTCAAATATGTTTGATACAGGGGTGGCAACAATGGACGATAGTAGCCAATGGTTGCTATTGTGGATGACCTACTATCCCCAGTGTCAACAGTTGATGAGACAGGAAATCAGTGAGATTATTGGCGACCAACAGCCCCGACACTCTGATAGATATCAATGTCATTATGTGATGGCATTTATAGCCGAAATGTTACGCTATATGAGTCTATTGAGTTTCTATCATAAAACATTGGAAACAACTAAAATAGGTATATATATATATTGCACCCAAATTTTTTTTTATATGTTTTACGGTATATATATATATATATTTTAGACATATAAATATTATATGTAGTTATACTGCTATTTTTATATATCATATAATAAGTACTGTATTAAACTTTTTTTTAAAAATCATATCAAAAAATCGTATAGGGTAGTCATATATATATATATATATATATATATATATATAAATATATAAGTAGTAGTTTTTTAATACATAATTTTTATTTTTTAGTTTTTTTTAATTATTTATACTATAATTAATGAATCTCAATTTTTTTATTTAATATATATATATATATATATACTATTAATGCTATAGCAGTTGTGTGTGTATTAATTAATTGCTAAAAACTACTACTAATACTAACACGTATATCTAACTAACATATTAACTAGATTTATAAAAAAAAATAATTCAAAACATTTCACTTAAATATACAATATTTATATCTATATATATATATATATAGAAAAATATACAGTTCCCAAAAACACTATTGTACTGTTATACTTGGGCCATGTTATGCGCGAAGATAGCCAATGGGGTACCGATGGCCACAGTTTCCGACCGGAACGTTTCATCGATACGGATACTGGCCACTATACGGGCAGCAAATGCCCGCAGCTGATACCCTATAGTGTCGGCCTCAGAAAATGTGTGGCCGAAAAACTGGCCAACGCTACCTTGTTTATCATATGCGTACGACTACTGCAGTCAACCAAACGTATCGAACTGGCCGATAGTCAGGGCATAAGTCCCGATCCATTGATTTCCGATAGACGACTGCCCAGAGCCTATAAGATTGTTATCGAACCGAATATTTGAAATTTTTTGAATTGAAAAAAAGACAACTAAAGATGCAATTTTTAAAAATTTTATTATTTTTTTTTTTAATAAAAAAATAGATAAATAAATATAATTTTTTTTTTTAATCAATTAATTATATATTAAATATATATAATTTAGTATAGTTTTGCATGTAATTCAAGAAATGTGTAATTTTTTTTAATCTTTAATATGTATTTTTTAATTTTTGTTGATTTTTTATTGTTGTAATTTTTGTTATTTTTCAATAAAAAATTCAAATTGTAATTAATTAATTTTTTATAAACATAATTTTTATTTTCTTTTTTTTAAATGTATTTTATATATAAAAATAATAATATTTTAAAAGTTAAATAACACACTATTTGTTTTGTCTATGAGGATAATTATTAAAATTTTTAATAATAATTTAATATATTTATATATATATTATATATATTAACTAATTGTTTTAAATTAAAAAAAACAAATAATAATCTATGAAATCGATTTAATTAAATTAAATTAATTAATTAATAAAAACATTTTTTTTATTGAAAATAATAAAAAACAAAAAAAATAAAAAAAAATTATTTAATTATTTTCGTGACATTTATTGTTGCGGTTTTTTTTCGTGACCACTTTACGCCCGTTTCTCTACTCTAACCATAATTTTCTTGGTTTGCATAACACCTGAATTATAATAAAATTCCATTGGTTTCTATAAGGGGGGCGCCGGCGGGGGATGCGTGGGAGGCGGGTATAAAAAAATCAAATAATATCATTAATTATATAATGCTAAATATAGTTTTTTTTTAAAAAAAAAACACTATTGATAGCTAACCCCAGTATCGTGGAACCGGTACTTATGGACGGCATAGGCCAGTCCAAGTTTGGCCTCAATTTCGGCCAATCGTACACCAAGACAAATACGTGGACCGATACCGAACGGCAGATAGACGTACTGATTGTGTTTGGTATTGGCGGGTGCTAGAAATCGTTCCGGCTGAAATTGGTCAGCATCGGGAAACAGTTGATCATCCCGGTGCATAGCATAGCTAGGTATATGAACTAGTTGACCTTTCCGTATTTGGATACCAGTTCTCAATTGATAATCATCCGATGCCTCCCTTTCCAGATACGGTGTAAACGGATATAATCGCATCGATTCCATAATAACTGCGTCCAAGTATTTCAATGAATGCAATAGTATATCGTAGTCGTTGTCTTTCTGTTTGGGGGAACGGGAGGAACGGGATGTTATAAATAGATATATTTATTTATATCAGGGTTGCTATAGGTTTTCGATTTCAAGTGGGGGTATAGGGGGGAGGGGTAAAATGGCAAAAAAAACTCGAAAGTTTGGGGCTGTATAGGAGGGGGTGAACATTTTAAAAAAATTTTATTTTTAAACGACAATTTTTATTCAAAATTTTTAGTAAATTCCCACTAAATTCCCAATAGCTTCCCAATAACTTTCCAATAATTTTTCTAATAACTTCTCATTAGATTCTATATAAATTCCCACTAAATTCCCACTAATTTCTCACTAAATTCCCACTAAATACCTAATAACTTCCTAATAAATTATATATACAGTATATATATATAGTTTTTAGATACCTGTGCCCGGTTTAGCTGTGTAAAAAAATCTATATTGTTATCTAAGTTTTTTTTAAAAAAATTAAAAAACATAGTATTTATTGATTACTATTATTATTATTATTATTTAATACCTGACTATCATGTTTGAAATATTGGTCGACTTCATTGAACAGTTTTTCCTGGACTACGGGATTCTTGGCCAACAAATACGCTAATATCGATAATGTTGTGGCAGTTGTCTCGTAGCCGGCAATAAAAAACAGTAGACATTGCGATTGTAGTTCATTGTTGGTTAGGACTAAAAAATAATAATTAATTAATTATAAACAGTATTTAGTTAACTAAAAAAAAAAATAAAAATATAAAAATAATTTATTTTATTTTTTTAAAAATCAAATACTTTTGTCAATTGATTTTTTCGGCGACACGTTTTCGTCGACAAATTTTCCCATCAGATTAGTATCAATGCCATCAGTTTTACCGGTAATATCCGTATCATCGGTGGTCGTCGTCATCATTGAGTCTAACATTATCTGCAAAAAGTCGACCCGTTTTTGATGATTATTATTACTGTGATTGTCACCAGTTTTCAGTTCATGATGTCGACGGCGTTCATCGATAATTTGTTGGGTAAAATCCTGGAAAAATTTCGTAGCTTTCGGATCGAAAAATGTCAATCCTAGCCAACCGGCCAGCGATGGCATCGCCAACATTACCAGGATTTTCAGATTCAAATCCTGACTGAAAAATGACTGTACATTCCTGATGATAGGGTTGTCCTCATCGAACAGTGCATCAACTTTGACACCGAAAGCAACCTGAATGATGACTTCCATACTGTAGGCACCGAACAGACGTTTCATATCCGACCCGTCCCGTGACGACCCGTTATCGGCGGACATTGTCCTCAGATTCTTGTCCATTGTTTCCAGACATTCGTCAATCAATGGTAGCATTTGTTTCAATTTTTTTGTTGAAAATGCCGGCGTTATTAGCGATCGGACTCTTTTCCAATTTTCGCCGTTAAGATTGGCCACCATATTGTCGGTTAATGGATCCGAACCGTTACCCGATGACTGAAATAATTTAATAAATTGAAAAAAAAAGAAAATATTATTTAATTAATTAATTTTATTTTTTTAGGGTGGGGGGGTTAAAAATTAAATGTTAATTTTTATATATATATATATATAAGGTTATAATATTACTATTACTATTACTATTACTATTACTATTACTATTACTATTACTATTACTATTACTATTACTATTACTATTACTATTACTATTACTATTACTATTACTATTACTATTACTATTACTATTACTATTACTATTACTATTACTATTACTATTACTATTACTATTACTATTACTATTACTATTACTATTACTATTACTATTACTATTACTATTACTATTACTATTACTATTACTATTACTATTACTATTACTATTACTATTACTATTACTATTACTATTACTATTACTATTACTATTACTATTACTATTACTATTACTATTACTATTACTATTACTATTACTATTACTATTACTATTACTATTACTATTACTATTACTATTACTATTACTATTACTATTACTATTACTATTACTATTACTATTACTATTACTATTACTATTACTATTACTATTACTATTACTATTACTATTACTATTACTATTACTATTACTATTACTATTACTATTACTATTACTATTACTATTACTATTACTATTACTATTACTATTACTATTACTATTACTATTACTATTACTATTACTATTACTATTACTATTACTATTACTATTACTATTACTATTACTATTACTATTACTATTACTATTACTATTACTATTACTATTACTATTACTATTACTATTACTATTACTATTACTATTACTATTACTATTACTATTACTATTACTATTACTATTACTATTACTATTACTATTACTATTACTATTACTATTACTATTACTATTACTATTACTATTACTATTACTATTACTACTTACTAATAATAATATAAAAAATTAATTAATACCCGTTTGTTTGCAAAACTATGAAAATCTTTGACCAGAACGTCGCGAATCAATACCGGATCCGACAAATAGAGTACCGGTTTCGACATCTCATAGTAACCGAAACATTTGCCGTACCGACGGTACAAATCGATTTCCAATTCCTGTAACGGTTTTCTGTACTGAGCCCACAAACCTACCGATGCTGTTTGAATGCCCTGCGACTCCCAATACATACATTTTGATTGATAATATCTAATAAATTATTTTGTTGTTAACAATAATAATAATAATGAAACAATTAATTAATTAATTTAAGAAAATAATAATTATTATTATTATTAATTTAAGAAAATAATAATAATTATTATTATTATTAATTTAAGGGTTTTATTTATTTTTTGTTGAAAATTATATTTAATATCTGTCAGTAAAATTAATAATAATAAATGTTGTAAAAATTATTATTAATTTTTTTTTAATAATACTATTTAATAATTAATATTTATATATTAGGTATTTATTAATAGGTATTAAGTATTTAGACTGCTATGGAATTAAATTATTTTATATAATTTTTATTTTTTTTTTAAAAATATAAATATTTTTTTGTATTACCTGTAAATTGCAAAGAAAATTACTAATACAATAGCAAACCATTTAATTAGCGGATGCAAAATAAATAAATAAAATAGTTGTAACATTTTGTTGCTTTTTTAAAAAAATATAAAAATAAATTTTGAATAGAAATAATCAACAGATTTTTTAAAATATACTTAATATAGTAATCATTAAAAATTATTAATTTTATTTTGTTTTTTGCTAATCATTTAATGATTTTTTCAGTTAATTATTTATATAAAATTTATATATAGTTTTTTTTTATTAATTAATGGAAAAATTTTATATAAAGTGCTTATTTTTATTAATATATATATAAAATAATAATAATATCTCAATTAATTATGACTTATAAATATTTGCAATGTTTTTTTTTTTAAATAAATTTTTTTTGAATAATTATAACAATTGTAATATTTTTTTTAAGTATTATACTGTAATATACGGTATAGTGTTATAATTTTTTTTAGTTTAGTATTAAACTTTAAATTTTTTTTATAATTAAAAACATTTATAACGATTCAGGGTACTATAATTATTATAATTATAATATTCCCCTAAATTAGTTAGCATTGTATCAATTAGTAGTGTAGTGTTGGTAGAAAAATAAGAGAAATTTATTTATTTTTTAAAAAATACTAGATTAAAGTTTCTAGAAAGTTTCTAATAGAATTTTCTATCTATTATGATTCTCTAGTTAATTTTATACTAATTAAAATTAGGTCATTTATATAATAAATAACAAATTAAATAATTTTATTTGTATTTTAATTACTAATTAAATTTATTTAAAAAAAATAATAATAATTTAAATTAATGTAATCATATTAAAGTTAAAAAAAAAATTTCATGAATTAAATTTTTACAAAACATTATTATTATTATTATTATTATGTAATAATTATAATTATTTATTTAGGTATCCATTTGTATAATAGTATAAAATTATTTGTATAGTATTATCCTCTCATTATTATTATTATTATTATTATTATTATTAATATCTTTATAATTATTAAAATTTGTTATATTTATATGGAGATAGTTTAATAATAAATTAAAAATTTCTATAGAAATTTATTACTGAGAAATTTTCTAGAAATTTTTTTAGCAAAAATTTATTTTGAAACTTTCTAATTGTATGAAAACTTATGGTTATTAATATTGAAAGTCTAGTTAGTTCATTAATTTTAACAATCAAAAACTAAAAATAAATAATAATAACTAAATAATTAAAATATAGTTTTATTTTATTTTTTTTTAAATTGTTAAAACATAACATAGATTGTTTGTTTTAATTGATTATATAATTAATTGATGATTTAAAAAATGATTTTTTAAAAATAATTTTTCGTTGTTGTAACTAATTGTATTTTTTAAAAATAAAATATTAAAACAAATACAAAAACATTAATAAAATGTATACTATTTGTCTACAAAAAAAATATATTAATAATTAGTAATATTTTTGCTATAATTTTCGTTCAATAATACCTGTCATAAATCTATTGGTAATACAGTTATTAAATATTTTATTTTTTTAAAAATAAATAATTGAATAATGCATTAAATTAATCTTGTACATTATTATATTAAAAAAACAATTAGTTATTAACTAATATTAATTTAATTTTTATCTAAATTTTTAATTCAAATAATTATTGATATTTTTATCTATATTAAATGATTTAATGATATTGTAACATCTATTATAAAAAAATTAAATAAAAATATTATAAGTAAAATAGTTTTTATTAGATAATTAAATACAATTAATTTAATCTTGTACATTATTTTATTGAAAACAATTAGTTAATACACATATTTATTAAATTATTAACATATTTTTAATTTTTAAGTTTAAATAAACAAATTATTGATAGTTATTTTTAATTAAATCACTTAAAATGCAATATACAGTACATTATGACATCTAGTATATAGGATTTAAAAAATTATTATAATTAATAAAATATTTTAATTAAAATAATTATTATATTAAAAATAACTTATAATTGATTATATTGTTTATTAAAATGACTTTTTTAAAATAATTTTTTGTTGTTGTAACTAATTGTATTTAAAAAAAAATATTAAAACAAATACAAAAATATTAATAAAATGTATACTATTTGTCTACAAAAAAATATATTAATAATTAGTAATATTTTTGCTATAATTTTCGTTCAATAATACCTCTCATAAATCTATTGGTAATACAGTTATTAAATATTTTTTTTTTAAATAAATAATATGGACAATGCATTAAATTAATCTTGTACATTATTATATTAAAAAAACAATTAGTTATTAACTAATATTAATTTAATTTTTATCTAAATTTTTAATTCAAATAATTATTGATATTTTTATCTATATTAAATGATTTAATGATATTGTAACATCTATTATAAAAAAAAATTAAATAAAAATATTATAAGTAAAATAGTTTTTATTAGATAATTAAATACAATTAATTTAATCTTGTACATTATTTTATTGAAAACAATTAGTTAATACACATATTTATTAAATTATTAACAAATTTTTTTAAAAACTTTGTATTAAAATAACAAATTATTGATAGTTTTATTATTATTATTAAATAACTTTAAATATATTGTATATTATGACATTAGAAAAAATTTAAAAAAAAATCAATTAGTTATTATTAATATTAAATAAATTTTTCTGAAATTTAATTTTTAATAATTTACTTATTGTAAAATATAATTATAAATTAAAAAAAAAATATTATAAGTAAAATTTGTTTTATTAAATAATTAAATCAATTAGCTTATTCTTGTACATTATTATAGTAAATACAATTAGTTAATACATATATTAATCAATTTTTTAACTAAATTTTTAAAAATAATTTTAAAATATACAAATTATTGAGATTTTTTTTTATAAATCAAATTACTTAAAATGTAATATATTTTGTGTATATTGTGACATCTATTACATAAAATTATAAAAGTTATATATATAAATTATTTTAATTAAATAATTAAATCAATTAAGTAAAAACTAGTACATTATTATATTGAAAACAATTAGTTAATAAAAATATTAAACAAATATTTAACAAAATTTTAGATTATAATTTTAAAATAAACAAATTATTGATAAATTTTTTAATTAAATAACTTAAAATCTAATGTATATTATGACATCTATTATATAAAATTAAAAATATTTTTATAATTTAAAAACTGATTTTATTAAATAATTGAATCAATTAAGTTAATCTTGTACATTATTATATTGAAAACAATTAGTTAATACTAATATTAAACAAAATTTTTAACAAAATTTTAATTTTTAAGTTTAAATAAACAAATTATTGATAGTTATTTTTAATTAAATCACTTAAAATGCAATATACAGTACATTATGACATCTAGTATATAGGATTTAAAAAATTATTATAATTAATAAAATATTTTAATTAAAATAATTATTATATTAAAAATAACTTATAATTGATTATATTGTTTATTAAAATGACTTTAAATATATTGTATAGCATGACATCTATCATAAAAAAAAATATTATTAATTAAAAATTTAATCATTCAATTTAATCTTGTACATTATTTTATTTGAAAACAATTAGTTAATACTAATATTTATTAAATTATTATCAAATATTTTTTAAAACTTAAAATAACAAATTATTGATAGTTTTATTATTATTTAATTGACTTTAAATGTATTTTGAATTAACAAATTTTTGAATATCAGTTAACAGTTATTATTTTTTTTATTTAATCTGGATATTACATTAATTTAATAGTATATATATTAATATATATAATAATTAGATACAATAATCATAGCTAAAAATATGATAATTGATTTTCTCAACGATATAACTGATAAAAACATTAGTGTAAACAATATTATATACATAGCCATAGAAATCAAAGTCAAATAATTGATTTTCTGGACATAATTGTTGCCAATTGTGGTTGCGATCCAATTGATAGCTAAAAATATATTTAAAATAATTGTTTTAAAAAAATATTTACTTATTATGAATAATTAAATATATATATATATATATATCAGGGTTAAGCAAGGTTTTGGATTTTAAGGGGGGGGGGTAGACAGGGTTGAAATTTACAAAATTCTAGAAAAATCTTAGGGGGGTATAGAGGGTATAGACTATTATAGAATATTATATATATATATATTATAAGTAAACTTATATATATATAATGTATATAACTTTACAGTATAAATATTAATACTATTTAACTAAATAATATAATTACAATTATTATTATTATTATTATTATTATTATCTTCATATATGAATCGGGCGCCCATCTCTCCGGCCAACATTGCCGCAGCTCCGGGATTGGCATTCATTATCTCCGGATAGATGGATAAGTCGACAACACGTAACCCGCGGACACCTTTGACACGCAATCGGGGATCGACTACAGTATCCCTGCGCTGGGGATCACCCATTCGACAAGTACCAACTGAATGCCATATACTACCCGACCATTGTTCAATCAGACAGTCAATATAGCTAAGACATTGATAGACTGGACCACTACCTGGTGGACAGTACTGACAGGGAGCTATCGGTTCAGTGGGTATACTAACGTATTGGCCGAAACTGGTCGTCTCGACAAATCGGAAAATATCGCCGACTGCCTGACGAAACCTGAGGCGATCGCTTTCAACGGATAAAAAATTGGGATCAATTAGCGGATGATCTTCGATACGGCAGCTATTGTTCAGGCGGACAGTACCCGTACTTAACGGTCGGGCAAGTATCGGATAAAATAGCATTGACCAGGTAGATGTGACACCCGGATGATATAGGCCACCGGGCATGACCATACATTCAAGATACAGGTCGGGATAGTTGTCCTCCTCCACCAATACACTGGTATTGTTGTTATTACCCGATGATGATGATGATGATGATGATGACCAATACATACCACCAATCGGGTACTGGGCCATTGCACCTGTACCCAGTACAATCGACTCGTACAGTTGTGTTAGATTGTCCAATTGGACGACTGGCCTGACCATTTCTGGTTTATTTATCGGGAACTCCAATATTATAGTTAAATGATTGTGAAAATTGTTGCCAACGGCTGGTATGTCTGAATAGATTTCAGAGATACCGGCGATTGATTTCAGATGATCGGCCGGTCCTACACCCGATACCATTAGCAACTGTGGACTGGCTATTTTACCTATCAATATAAAAAAATATATATATATAAATGTTATAAATTAGTTAATTATAAAAATATATATATAAACAAAAATTATCATTGCTGAAAAAAATGTATTAATATTTATATAAGCTAAATTAATTAAATATTAAATTAAAAAAGCTAAATTAATTAAATATTAAATTAAAAAAGCTAAATTAATTAAATATTAGATAAAAAAAAACTAAATTAATTAAATATTAAATTTTAAAAAACTAAATTAATTAAATATTGAATAAATTCAAAATAAATAAAATATTAAATTAAAAAAAACTAAATTAATTAATTATATATTACCTGCCGATAAAATTACCTCCAGGTTTGCTAATACTCTATGTGTGCGCTTATCTTTAATAAACTCGACTCCCTGTGCCCGAGGAGTATGATGGCCGCCCTGACCATTGTTAACTGTACGTTCAATAAGTATTTTGGATACCTGAGCCCGGGTAACGATTGTCAATTTAGGACACAAATCGCTCATCAAATATGAGTTATAGGTCGATGATTTCAATCCCTGGCCAATAGTCGACTGTACTATTCGGAAACCGGTTTGATTTGGACCGTTATAATCGCTATACTCCAGACCCCATTCGCGGGCAGCCTCAGCCTGTTTCTCGAATATCGGATAGATTTCATCGAATGTCGACACAACTACCGGTCCCTGTCGTCCGTGATACTGATCGCTAACCCGGGGGTCGGTATTGTTTTCAATTTGCTTAAATACTGGCAAAACACTCGCGTAATCCCAACCAATGGCACCGTATTTTTCAGCAATCATGTCGTAGTATTTGAGATTACCTCTAGAGTTGAGAGAGAGAGAGAGAGAGAGAGAGAGAGAAAGAGAGAGAACATATTAAACTATTTTTAAAAAAAATATTATTATTATTATTATTATTATTATTATTATTATTATTATGAAAATATCATTTAAAACTAAATAGTAATTATATATATATATATATATGAAAAAATTACATCTAAATATGTTTATATATACATGTAAGTACACATTAAAAATTGTTACATTAAAAAATTAATATTATTATTATTATGAAAAAATAACATTTAAAACTAAATATAATAGTAATTATTGATATATATAAAATTATGCCTAAAAATTATTCAGTATTAATTTATTAGTCATATACTGTATATAATATATATATTTATATACCTATTATATATCATTCCGGTGAAAGTGGAAGTTCCGCCTAATATACGACCGCTTTGTTCAATTTGTTGGCCACTGTCCGGATAGGAATGTCCCGAAAATTTTTGCCTAACCATCGGATAGTTCCAATGTATGCCAATATCGTCGACATAGTTAACCAGTGCGGGTATATCGTCCATCAGGGCATCGGTACCGCCGCCAGCTTCAAGTAGTAGTACATCCGAACCCCACTGGGATAGACGACACGAGACAATAGCACCGGCACTGCCGGCACCGACTACTATATAATCGTATGATGGTTTCGGCGGTAATGGTGTCTGATTGGCCACTAGATTGTGACGGTCCTGTCTATCCCTTATAATTGTTGATAGCGCCAGTAATTTTGTTAATAAAGTTATCGTGTACATTTTTTTGTTTTTTTTTAATAATTTACTTTAGTTTGAAATTTACAAAAAACTTTAGATTATAATTATATAAAAATTATTAAAAACTATTTATAAAAACTATTGTATTATTTATTTTATTTTTAAATAATAAAATTCTTTAATGAAAAGCATTATTCAAACAATTTTATAAATAATTTTAAAAAAAATTATTTATTAAACTAATAAATTCTTTATATATATATATACAGTATAACCTCTTTATAAGCACCTTCTCTATAGGCAAAACTCGTTATAAGCAACTCAATATTTTGCTGCACCAATGAGTTGCTTATAAAGAGGTCAAACTGTATATATAAAAGCAATGGTCAATACATCACTATACAGCGCTTACAGTGTCACCAATACAATACAAAGTTACTTTGTAATTATAAATATGATATACTGTATGTTTCACTATGTATTTCTCTATTATAAGTAAAAAAATACAGTTTAATCAAATTATAAAAATTCATTATAATTATCTATACTTAATATATTATTTAACAATTTTTTAAAATTAATTTTATATACCGTATATCTTAAATACCGTCATATATATATATATATAAAAATAAATATTATTAAACAATTTTATCTAAATTTTTTTTTTAAAAAAACTTTTTTTTAAATAAAATATTAATAATAAAAAAAAATTTTTATTTAATACAATAAAAATTCAGATAATTAATTATTCTAATAAAAAATTAATTTTTTAAAAAAACTAATAAAACTAATTAAACTATATATAAATTGCGTTTACAAACTAATATTTACTTATATCATATACTATTATTTATTAATTAATTAATTTATAAATAAAAAAATATTTTATAAAAATAAATATTATTAAAAAAATTTTATCTAAAATTAAAAAAAAACTTATTTTAATAATATCTTAATAATAGTAATAAAATTTTTCTATTTTTTTTTTAAAAATACAATACAATACAAATCAGATAATTAATTATTTTAATAATTAAACTATATATATATATATATAAATTGCATTTACATATTTAGTTATATATATATATATATAGTTAGTTAATATATATATATATATATAGTTAATATAGTTAATAATATATATATAGTTATTATATATATATATATACAGTATAAATATTAGTTAATCTAGGGGTTATGGGTTTTTTTGGGGGGGGAGGGGTTTCAGTCTCTTAATTCAATGCCGATATCAATTGGTCTCAAATCAAGTATTAGTCTCATTAGCTGTGATTTTAGATGCAATTTGGTTTCGGGTGTACGAAAAAATCGATATTTATTAACCAAATAGACAACAGCTGTCTTGGCCTCCATCAGCGCAAATCGCATACCAACACAATTTCTGGGTCCCAAACCAAACGGCATATACGTATAGGGAACTAATTTCCGACGATTTTCGGGCATAAATCGGTCGGGATTCCAACAGTCGGGTTCGGGATAATAGTCGGGATTGTGATGAATGCTTTCGATATCAAAGTTAACAAGCATTCCCTTTGGTATTGTTAGTCCAATACTCTCTATAATAATAATAATAATAATTATTATTATTATTATTATTATTATCAAACAAAAAATGTAAAATAAAATACAATCAATTAAAATTTAATATTTTTAAAAAATATAAAATAATCATAATTATTAATTTTTTTTAAATAGATAGTAATATACTATATTTTTGATATATATATAGAATAAATACAAACAGAATATATATCGTATATCAATATGTACCACTATGTTACCATTAAATTACCATTAAATTCCCATTAAATTCCCAAGAATTTCCCAATAATTTCCCAATAAATTCCGTATAATTTCCCAATAATTTCCCATTAAATTCTCATTAAATTCCCACTAAATTCCCACTAAATTACCATTAAATTCCCAAGAATTTCCCAAGAATTTCCCAATAAATTCCCGTTAATTTCCCAATAATTTCCCATTAAATTCCCATTAAATTCCCACAAAATTCCCACAAAATTCCCATTAAATTCCCAATAAATTCCTAATATTATATATATATATATATATAGTATTTATATATTATTATTATTATTGAATACATTACCGATTGTATAGTCCTGGGAAGCCATCCGACCAAACATTGGTAACGGATTATACAGTCTCAATGTTTCGGCAATACATGCCTCCAGATACGGCATTCGGGTAATTGAATCGTAATCATCGTATTGGCCATTAAATTGTTCACTGATTTCCTGAAACAATTTTCGCTGACACTCATCGTCCAATGCTAGCCTATAGATTAGCAGCGCCAACAGCGAACCGGTAGTCTCGTAGCCGGCAACTAGAAACTGAAAACTAGAGGCCAGTATATCTGTATCGGTTATTTTGGAAACCAATTGCTTGTTAGCAATCAATTTGTTCATATCAATCGACTTATCATTGATTTGTCCATAAATTTCGTCGCTCTGATCGCCATCAATCAAATCCATGTCCTCCTCTTCAGCCGACTCTATCGACTTCATGTCCTTATTATTATTATCATTATTGATGGCTGTCTTATCTTTTGCATCCAAAATCAATTGCAAATAATCTTTATGTTTCATATGTTGTTGTTGTCTATTGTTTTTCATTGATTGACGTTTAGCTATAATCGATTGTATCTATTTAAAAAAAATATCAGGGTTGATAAAGTTTTTTTTTTAATTTCAGGGTATATAGGATAGGGTAAAATGGCAAAAATCTTTGAAAAAGATTATGAGGGATATAGGGTGTGGTGAACATTTTTATTGCATTTTTAAACGACAATTTTTATCCCAAAATTTAAGTAAATTCCCACTAAAATCCCAATAAATTATGTATAATTGCCCACTAAATTCCCATTAAATTCCCACTGAATTTTAATTAAATTCCCACTAAATTTTTAATTAAATATCCACTATACGGTATATAGTATAAAACTTACCTAAATATTAGCTAACTTTTATAATAATAATAATAATAATAATAATAATAATAAGTTACCTTACCTATGATAAAGTTAACTTTTAAACAAATTTAAACTTTAGACATTATCTGTATATATAATATATATGTATTATATATAATATATATGTATTATATATAAATACAGTATATATATATATATAAATAAATAACTGACCGCTTGTTTGAAAAACATTTCCACTGATGTCGACGTAAATCTAAAACCAGTTATCTTAAGCAACTTTGAACCCATCGATAACATTATCAAATAGACAATAGACCTCAAGCTAACGGAAAATACTTTCTGTGCCATCAAAACAAATTCACTGGGTTTCTGGTCATCGTAGGTATCGATTTGTGTACCGAAAGCGCAGGCAGCTATCACGTCCATTGTCAGACAGCCCATTGTTTTTTTCATTTCAATAGTCTCCCGGTTCAGGGCTTTCGGTTCCAGATATCTATCCAATCGATGAACACAATCGACAACAATCGGATGCATTGAACGCATTTTGCCGGACGAAAAGGTAGGCGATGTCTATATATAAATAAATATATATATATATCTATACTACTATATAATTTGGAAATGTTTGTGCCATTTTCTGACACGCAAACAATTACTCTTAATGTGTCGCGCGATTATTAATAATTTTAATTTATTAAATAAAAAAAATAATAAAATATACTTTTTTATAAAACACTGTAGATTATATAGCGCGTGAAAGCATTGTTTAGTAAAGAGATAGATTGAGAGAGAGAGAGAGAGAGAGAGTATTGTTGCACGTGTTAACTACACTCAAAAATAAAAACACTGCAAAAAAATCAAATTTTGCTTGGTCAAAAAATCAATTAAAAAACATTTTGAACCTAGATACAAAGCCAAATGTGATTTAAGTGTTTTTATTTTTGAGTGTATTGATAAACATTTTATTACATGGATCTAACTAGTATATTTATAAATAAAATAATTTATTGGGAGAATCTTAAACAGCGGCGGCGGCGGCGGCGATAATATTAATTTCAATTAAATGGTTCAGCAATACGTTAAGAATTAAATAGTGACCATGTTGGTGGATAATTTTATTATGGCCAAAATTGTAATTAATTATAATATTCAATTAATTATTATAATAATAATCAATTAATTATAATAATAATAATAAATTAATTATAATAATAATAATCAATTAATTATAATATTAATCAATTAATTATAATAATAATAATCAATTAATTATAATAATAATAATCAATTAATTATAATAATAATCAATTAATTATAATAATAATAATCAATTAATTATAATAATAATAATCAATTAGTTATAATAATAATAATAATAATTAATTAATTAAAATTTTGGCCAATATAAAATTAGCCAACAACATTGCCAGACCAACATGGTCACTTTTCAATTCAAACATATTGTTGATCAGATAATTGTAATTAATAATATTGCCGCAATACTAGGCCACCACTGCCGCCGCTGTTTAAGACTTTGTGATTTTTATTTTAAAATTAATTTTAAAAAATTTTTTTTATGGTAATAAAAATAATTAAAAAAAAACAATAATACAATTGATCGCATATTTTTCCATTCATTGGCTTTCATATTGAACAACGATTGATGCAATAAATCGTTAGCATAATTAAAATCGTTTCGATCGATAAATACGTTAAAATCTTTAATATTCATCTGTTTTATTAATTGCGGATCCGATACATAAAGTACTGGTCGACTACCAAAATATGTACTAAAAAAATTAAAAAAAAACAACAAAAATTAGCTATATTTATATCAAGGGTTAAGCAAGGTTTTGGATTTAAGGGGATAGCCTGGGGGATGATATTTACAAAATTCTCGAACAATCTTGGAGGGCGGGGGGGCCTAGGGAGGGTGGGGTATAGGCTTTTATTGAATTTATAAAGACGGCAATTTTTTTTGAACAACAAAATAATCAAGTGTAGGGTAGTCAAGAGAAAATTCCCATAAAAATCCATTAAATTCTAGAATATTCTTATAGAAATTCTACAAAAATTCCCATAAGATTCCCGTATAAATTCCCAGTATAATAGGTAAATATTTTTTATATATATATATATCATATATATTTAATAGTATTTAATAAATTAATATTAAAAAATTAAAAATTACCCGTAAACATTGCCATATTTGTTATGATAATCGATCATTACGTCCGGTATTGGTTTCAAAAAATTATCAAAAAAATTGCCTAATATTGGTAACGGTTTGGGTCCGGGTATACCACGCGATGACCAATAGTTAAAGTTACGGGTAGTGTAACTATATATTTGTTTCAGTTTGTATCAGTTTTTATTAGATTTCAGAAAAAAAAATTTAGAAACATTATTTAAGTTATATTTAAAAATAAATAAATAAAAATAATTTAAACAATTACTTACTAATATAATGATAGCAAAATAATAATAATTGTTATTAATAAGTAAATCATAATTTTTTATGCGTTTTGATACTATATTGATATACTATTAAAAAACTCAATTTTTTATTTAATAAAATAAATATATTTATAATTAAAAAAAAACTATTATTTTTATTATTACTATTAGTAAAGTTGTATTTAGGATGTTTAATGTAATAATGCTTTAATATTATTAAATTATACATTATATATATTTGTATATATTTTTTTAAATAAATCAATAATGTTTTTATTTTTCTCTAATCATATTATGAATTGGCATATTATAAAAATATATGCAATTTAATTGATATTTGATATTTTCAAAAAAAAAACTTGAAAAGTTTTGTTTACTGAAATCTATAATGGCTTTTTGAGTCTGTCTGTCTGTGTGTGTGTGTGTGTCACATATTTTTTTGCGAATTTTGAAATTCTGACTTCAGATTCTGTTAGAGGACTACT